CGGCGTGCACAGGGGGGGAGGGGCAGCGCCCTGCCAAGTGCCAGCGCCCCGGGGCCAAGCGGAGGGTGCCTGACCAGCAGTGCTGCCAGCGACAGCGGAGGGGTGCCCGGCCCCTTCTCTGCCGCTCGGCACCCGCTGCTCTCTTGCAGCGGGGTGGCCCGCCGCGAGCTTGCTTTCCAGCTGTGGATCTGGAGGGTGCTGTTGTCATGCACATCACAGCCATCGATCCCCGCAGGCATGCAGTGCTGCTCTCAAAGAGAGGTCAGGGTTATTTTGGGGAGGGTGAGAACTGGCTCCTCGCAGGTCATTTCCCACCCTGATGCTGGTGGGGGTGACAGTGCCTCTGGTCTCCCCCGCAGAGCCTGCCCCAGATCTGCAGTGCGGGAGATGGGCAGGCGTTCACCTCCACCCTGCGGCAGCTCTACGTGGCAGTGACGCAGCAAGAGGCCAAGCAGGCCCGCAAACGGCACCTTTCAGGTGAGGAGCTCCTCAGTCACGCAATGGGGAACATATGAGACCCCCACTCTCCCAGTGGTTGGGCCCCCAGACCTTGGGAATGGGAGGGAGGACCTGGGTGCAGCTCACCCCATGCAACAGTCTCCCTCTATCCTTTTCCTCCCAAGGGCTGAGCTCTCCCATCCAGGACTAGTTCCTGACATGGGTTTGAGCAGTGCCACGTGCCCCCTCTTCCCGGCCTTGCCTCCCTTAACCCTGAATTGCTTCTCCTGCTTCTGGGACCAGGGGATGCAGAGGCCCCGGCACCTGCTGGAGAAACCCCAGAGCACCCAGACCCACCGCCTCAGACCCAGGAGGATGAAACAGCCCCTTCCAGCAAAGGAGCCACGGTGAGCACAGCACCAGAAATACTCTCTCCGTACCGGTGGCAGGATGGGGCTTCCCAGGGTGGCAGAGAGACGGAGCAGCCTGCTCCCACTGTCCTCAGCGCCCTGGCTGTGGCCTTCCTGCCCCCCACTTCTTTCCTTGCATCCCAGCCTGGTGCCCCTCTGGGGCAGGTTGGGGGTCTCAGCTTGGTGCCTAGCCTGCCCTGCCCCATGCACCCTGGTTGGGCAGCGTGTGGGCACGTCGCACAGGTGTGTGTGTTTCCAACCCACCTTGTGGGGGTGCATCACTGCTTGTGCACGTGCATCCACCCTGTGTGAGCCCCCACGGGAGACTGATGCTGCCTCCCCTTTGCTTCCAGCCAGCCTCCTCCCCAGCTCAGAAGCTCCGGTTGCCCATGGCCAAGGCCAAGCAGAAGAAGGCGAAGGGGCTGTTCAGCTGAAAGGTCACTGCCACCCACCTCGAGTGTCTCTGCTCAGCCAGCATCTGAGAGAGGCAGTGCAGAGCAGCCACGTGTCCTCTGCCTTCTGCCTCCTCTCCCACCTCTCCCAGTGGTCCCTGCCCTGGGCAATCTCCCCTCCCAAGTTGGTGCAGCAACAGGCTGTGCCAGGGAGACGGGGCATCTCTGCCCTTTGACAGTGTCTCAGGAATCTCTTTGTTGCCTCTTTCCTGGTGCAGAGCTTGCCTCATGCCTTGGCTGTCCCACGGTGGAGCCAACGCTGGACCTGGGGGGAGCTGTGGGGAGCTGGAGGGATGCTGCTGGGTAGATGCAGGGCAGCCAGGGCTCTTGCAGTGCTGTGGGTTTTGGCTAGATGACCACACACCCTGGTTTTGGGTTGGTTTGCAATAAAAGCTGTGTTTGCCTGAGGTTCACTCTTCTCCTGCTCTGTCCCACCTGGGTCCACAGTGTCAGGAGAGGGATGCAGCCCCTGGTGCAGCTAGGTCCCTCAGGGCTGGTCCTGCTGTGGATGCGCATGGAGGTGCACCCTCAGGTGCAGAGCTTGCTGGGGAACCTGGAGCCCAGTTTCCCCATGTCCAATGCTGGGGACACACCGTTTGCTGTTGCCTGGAGCCAGGTGTAGTCCTTAGAGCAACTTGCTGGCAAAAGCAGCTAGACTATGCTGAAGGCTGTGCCCTCCATGTACAGATAGGCTTGGAGGGCAGGTGATATGAGGTTAGTGCATTTTCTGGCCTCCGAGGGGCAGGGGCTAACGGAGCCACTAATGCAGTGAAAGCTCCCAGGCCCTGGAGCAAGTTGCAGATGTTCCCTGGACACAGTGCACCACATTTGTCCCTCCACACTTCCTCTATCCATCCATCCATTCATCCATCCATCCCTTGCTCTCCTCTTCCTGCCCTTTTATCCATGTCCCTTCTCTGGGACTGGGACACCACTCCTGTGCCTAAGCTGGATCCTAAAAGAGCAGGCGGGTCCTGGCAGTGCTGCCCTAGGCAGGCTGCACCACACGGTGCCGCTCTGCAGGCACCAGGACCCGTGGCCCTGACTGCCCTGCTCCCCAGGGCTGGGCTGGCTGTGCTCACGGTGTCTGCTCTCACGGGCAGCAAGGGGGAAACAAAAACATCCGGAGCAGCCCCTGTGTCTGTGGAAGGGGAATGAAAGGGCCTTTGCAGAGCCTCGGCCAGCCAGTCCCAGAGCAAGAGCAGCCTGGTGCTTGGTGCTTTTTATATTTCCTCTCCGAGGGAACAGTGTGCAGGACAGGGTGGGTGGTGGGAAGGGGAAGAGGAAGCCATGGGGAGCTTGTGCCAACAAGCACCCTTGCTGTAGCTGGCTTGTACCCTGCCTTCCCCCATCCGCTAGCATCTTATATGGTGTAAATATGGCCCAGGAGCCATGGGTACGTGGGTGGTGGAGGTCAGTGGGAGCCACATGGAGAGGTCGGGGGTGGGGGGCTCTGTTGACAGAGCTCTGTGGCGCTCTGGGCTTTCCCAGGCATGGTGCTTCCTCCTGGGTGGAAGTGTTGGGGCTGTGCCCTATCTCCAACATGGATCAGCACTGCCAGGCAGCTTTGAGCCTACCAGCCAGGCACATACCCCCCAGCTGCACCATCTTCAGCTCCCAAGAAAGGTCCTGCTATGGGGCAGGGCTGGGGCAGGTCTCTGCAGGGCTTGGTGGCTCTCCACTCCATTTGTCTTCTTTTCTCCTGCTCCAGAGCTGCGTGCCCATGATGGAGGCCTTGTCTCTGCCACCAGGTTGTCCCCTGGTGCAACCCCAGCTCCAGCCTCGTGGCCTCCGTTGCCCTGGGGTGCTTGTCGTGGCCAGGGGCAGCTGGAGGGAGCTGCTTCATTCCAGCTAGGTCTCCCCAGCTCCTTGCAGGGCCCAAGGGTCATGTTGCTCCCCCGTGCAAGCCATGACTTGCAGGAGGAGGGTCTATGACCCCAGAGAGGGAATCTGGCTCCTCTGTCCCTTCAAGGGCTGAGGGGACATTGCACAGGGGAGGACAGAGGATTCCCACCCTGCCTGTGCCCATGGCTGTTGAGCTTAATGGGGGAGTGGGTGGTGCAAAACAGCATCTGCACCCCAGGGTCCTCCTGGCTGCCAGCTGCACCCAGGCCGTGTTTCCACCTCTCCTGGGATGCTCATCTCAGGTGGACCAGTCCACCCCCAGGGATGCTGCAGCTCCATTCCCCAAGAGCCCTATTCCTGTGCAGAATAATTCCCCCTGGGGTGCCCTGCACCCTAGGGAGCCAGTGAGCACCCCGGAGGGCTGGGGCTGGGGTAAAGACCCACTGCAAGGAGAGAGCCCATCTCTTTCACCCTGCTCCCATGCATGCTGCTGTGCTTCTGTAGGGACAAATGGAGTCCTGCAGTGGGGCCTGCCCTTCTGCCACGTCCCCACGGGGAAGCAAGCGTGGCAATGGCATGGCAAAGAGCTATAGGGTAGGTAGAGGCGTCTGAGAGGGATGGCAAGAGAAGATGGGGACGTTGGAGCAGGGAATGGGGGTAGACAAAAGCAGGGGACTGGAGACATCAGTGGGGGAAAAGAGCTTTGCCAATACCTCCCCCTGGCCCACAGCCCTCCGCCAGCCCAGAGCAGGGACCCCAGACCCATATGACTCCAGCATGGGGCCTGCCAGGGCCTCCCTCACCCAGGTTGCCGCCGGCTCTGGGGAATGTCGCCGATCATTGTCCCATCCTGTCCTTCGGGGGTCTCCTACCCTCTCCCCACCCCCTCCTCCCTGGAGCCGCCTGGATTTGAGCTCCCAACACACATTAAAGGCCACAAGTTCGGCCTCGGCCTCCATAAATTTGATTCCATAAATATTAGTTTTCGCAGGGTTTAATGAAGCCGTTATGCCGGGCACGGCCCAGCACCCCGACCCGTGCCCTTAATAAGGGCTCTGTGGCCTCGATTAAAGGGACCTTTCAATCGCTGTCAAGTATTTTTAGAAAAGGAAAAGAAAAAAAAAAGAGAGAGAGAGGAGAAGAAGACGACCAAGCCAGCGAATCGGGAGAGGAAAATCCCAAACCGATCTGATGCAAAAATAGAGAAATAGCACCACCTAGACTGCATCTCCCGGCTCCGCCGCCCGCCAGCTGCCCGCTCGCCCTGCGCAGCACCCGGCTCCCCTGCAGGCTTGCTGGGCCTTTGCCAGCCCTGCGCCCCTGCCCCAGTGCCCTGCTCCTGGCAGCCTCTGGAGCCCACGGAGGTGTGTGCAGGATGCAGCTCTCCCCGTCAGGGCAGGGGCACAGGGATGTGGTGGCTTCCCTTTCCCGGTGTGGAAAACCAAGGAGGGACTTGGGCAAGGCCAGGACATAGCTAGGAATAGCATGTGGTGACTGGGTGTCCTGGCAGTGCCTAAGAGTGACTGAGCGCTGTGGGAGATACCCTGGGATGCAGGGATGGACCCGGCATCTCTCCCAGCTCCACTGGAAGGTAATTCCTCCCCAGGGCCTCGTGCGGCAGCTGCAAATGCCCCTTCTCACCAGCCTCCTGAGCAGAAATAACTGCTTGCCCCCTGGTCTGATAGACCGTGCCCCAGGCTCCAGCCTCAGGGCATGGCCCCCTCCCCACACACGTGGTGCTCTCTCATGCCTGGGGTGCTGGCCCACTCAGCCCCGCTTGCTGGCAGGGTTTGTCTGGCAGGGACACAGGGAGGGAGGCAGCAGCCAGACCCCAGGCTAGGATTAGGGGTGCTGGCGCCATGGGCAGCGCTGGGTGCCTCGGCATCCCTGAGAGGGGCTGCAGAGAGCTGGGAGCTGCTCTCCAAGCTGCAGAGCCACCCCTGTGACCAGCATGGGGGCAGCAGGGCTGAGAAGCAGGACACAGGGTTTTCGGAGAGGGGGTAGTTCCTGGCAGGGGCTGCTCTTCAGCAGCACTGGGCTGTTTTAATGAGCAGGACTGATTCTCCTGTGCCCCACTTCCCATGCAGGAGCCAGGCCAGCTCAGCAGGTCACTGCTGCATAGGGTCTCAGTGGGCTCTGCACCCAGCTGTCATCTCGTGACAGGACACTGTCACTGCTCCCTGCAGCCAGAGCCAGTGCAGGATGCCTGGCTCCTGCAGGGGTAGGAGCTACAGTCGCAGCCAAACCCAGTCCCCCATGTGCAGCCCCAAGCCTCTGTGGGGCACAAACACTGTACCAGCAAGGGCAGGGCCAGGCTGCTGATACAGTGCCCATCTCAGGCTGCCGGGTGGGTAATAGACCCTCGCAACATGCATGCTGCATGTCTGCAGGCTTCAGAAGTTGTTTGGAGGTCTGACTCTTAGTCAAATCAGCAGCAGTAAGGCACTTCTTGGGGATGTGCTGCGCTCTCAAGGTCCAGCACCACCCCAGATGATCCTGTTCTCCCTTGCCCTCCCTCACAGGAGAGAGGAGCAAGGCGGGCAGCTGATTGGAGTACAAACCAGCCCGGCAACCCTGCAGACCCAGCCCAGGCTCCTATTTTCCTGTGCCTGTGGTAGGTTGCACACAGAGAGCTATTCCCCTTCTGCAACCCTAGAGAAGCCAGATGCAGGGATGGGGAAGGTTTATGGTGCCTGGTGTTGTGGCAGGTCAGCTCTGCTCTATCTGCCAATGCCTGTAGGATGCTCTGCTGGAAAGGTCAGCCTGCAAGATATGGAAGTGGCTGTCCTTGGGGTGCTGGCCAGGCCCTCTTGCTCCATCATGTGCAGGAGTAGCATGACAGCCACTCTATCCTGCACAGTAGCAGGACTTCACAGAGGCTCTGGGTGCTGGTTTTGAGTGTGTGGCTACTGAGCATCAAAACCTGATGGAAACAGCTCTGGCCAGCTGAAATGTGCCTGCAGCTCCTGGCAAATGACATGGTCCACAGGGGCCACTGTGTAGCAGCATCCCAACCAAGCCCATAAGTGCTGCTGGCACCCTAGTCTGCATCCCTCCTGCCCTAATTTCCCGGTCCGCCTGAGGACAGCACAGCCCTGCAGCCAGAGCCGGACAGCTGGCTGGGCTACGCCAGGGACCCAGCCTGGCCCTCCCCACGTATCCCCAGGTGCAGCCATGCCCTGAGCCCACCAAAAGGCTAGCGAAGGGACATCCATGAGGGCTGTGGCACAGTGATGCCCTCACCAGGCACTTCCTCACCTGGGAAGGTCCTAGGGAGCCAGAGGGGGCGCGGGCAGAGTTGGTGCCAGATCCCTCCCCAGGGCACAGCTGGGGGAGCAGTGGGGTGGGGGGAAGGGGGAGCCGCAGGCCCTTGCTCCTGAAATCAGGGTGTTGTATTTACTTTCCCCTTTTGGCAGCTAGAAGGGGAAGCCCATCCCAGCCCCTCATTGTTGTCTCAGCGAGTTAATCAGATGCCATAATCCTGTTGTGGAAATATCGGGCCTCCCTGGAAACAATGGGGAGCGAGAATATTGTGGTTAAATTTCAACCAGCTGCCTCCCTGC